TGTTTTGGCCAAGTACTATAATTATGTCTTATAACATGAACTTTAAGATTAACTTTATACATGGAAACTAAATTAAAAAGTACAAATAGATCGCGAAAATCAAAAACATTAAGTTCTTTATAAATTACATTTTTACTACAGAAACATGGATTGGACAAAATTAGTTTAATTCAATTATTAATAAAGTTATTAGTTACATATTATAATACATTAATATTAATATTATAAGTATTAGCCCACACTATCAAACCATTCGAAAAAATAGATTGCGCTACACCTAAATAAATAAAAACGTGAAGTTTATTAACTTAAACTTTACCAAATATGTCTTAAGTCTAACTTAAATACCTACTTATGTACTTAACTAACGATTTAGTTTTGTATCTAAATTGAGTTAAATTTTTTTTTAATACGTGTCCATGGAAAACAAATAGGTATATTTGCTCCAACATAAGACCATCATCCAAAATCTAGAAGAGTTACTTTTAAATTATTTAGCTATTGAAATTTAGTTTCTGTTGATGAATAGAATGTAAAATTACAAATTTTAATATGTAGGTATTGGCAGGTTTGCGTTAATTTTTTTTTTTATATAGTATTACATATTGACTTTTAACTTGAACGGAATTAATATAAAATGAGCACATTTTTGATAACTTATTTTTTCCTGTATTAATGAATAATAATAATAATAATAATAACTATAATTAAACTGTTAGCTTGCCAGTACTAATTATGTATACATCGTCAAACGATTGTTGCAGGACTACGAGGAGAACAGAATGACGGGTTGCGGGGAGGGATGATGACGATTGCGATCGTGCACACTTGTGAATATTGCCACGAACGTCTCCGTCGATTATGTATATGAGTAAGAAAAAAAACCTCTGAAAAGAAACATCGCCACCGTTATTGTTATTGCACGGCCGGTGCGCGGCGGCCCGTGAAATTGGCTCGTCGCGCGTGCCCCCCCCCCCCCCCCGTTCCGCTCATCCGGTATAATGTCATTATGGCACACACCCTGTATTATAGACCTCCAATACCTGTGGTATTCATCAGAGCGCCGGCATCCAACATCTATGCATTGTCATTATACCACGGTCGCACTGAAACTATTACGACCCGCTGAAGGTGCAGTGAGACGGGCCCAGAGACGTATTTGTATAGTTTTGACGACATACATTTCGCCAGACCTGGGTAATGTTGTAGCAATAGTACAATACCCATCAATATAGGGGCGTCTATTTCATCCCCTTTCCTTTAACAGATCTGTGTTCTGGTGAATATTTTTATTAAATTATTATATTAAAATAGCACTCGACATTAATTATTGATGCATAGGTATATATTACCGCGTGTTTTTTCGTCATAAAATATTATTATTATTATACAGTAAAATTAGGTACTTTATAAATAACAAGTGCATTTTTTTCTTTGTTTAATTTTCTGTAAGCCATATTGCCACTTAGTCTCACTCGTTTGTCAGTCATTTTATTATGCCATTGTTTTTATGCAATTAAATTATCAGTTTGTATTAACTTAAGTCTAAAACAATAAACAGCTATAAACCTTAAATCACAACAATATTTCAATACAATATTAAATATTCACTCAGAAGTCCGAATTTTATATAACATATAATATTATAGATTCATAAAATTAAATTGATTTTCTAGTGATAGGTATATCAGCAATCAACATGCTGCCGTAGATTATCATATCGATTATAAATATCATATAAATAATTTTATATTATCAGTAACTCGCTGCATATTATCAATAGCTACTATATTATTGTGTAAGCGATAACAAAAATAAAATTATCTTGATTTTTGTATGAAATTATAGGTATGATGTTGTGACAAAAAATGTGTTAAAAATGTTGTCTTTTGAATGACGAATGGCGATGGATAATTATTATAATTTGTGTACAGAAATAACGACCCTAAAATCTAAATGCCTTAAAAAAATGTACACCTGTTGAGATGATACAAATGTAATATTTTAATAAAACCTTATATGTTACTCGATACGTATTTGTGTATAGTCTTAGACCTTAGGTGATCAATGATCATAGATCCCGTTCAATTAAGTTATTCATCTCTTTAAAGAGCATCATATTATCTAAGACAACACAGGGCTATGCTATGTCCCTGGGCATTAGCTTCGAGTGGACTCTTTTTATTCCGTTTTTAGAAGTTTCCCCTTTCTTATCCCGTACATGTCTGAATAACTAAATGTGCGTAAAAGAATAAAATCTGTAAGTACACGAAACAAATTAATATATGAAACAATATTTGTACAGTTTTATTTTAAACCAAATTTATAAGCAACAATTTTTGTAAAACGTACGAATAATATATCAGCGATAAGCATGCGAAATGACTATACAGTGTACAGCAGCAGCACCGAATACAGATGTCAAGTAGAACGACTGCTCCACGTCTTTGTATTGGTGGGTAAGTGGGTGGGTCGGTCGTATGTCAGGACATTAAGAGCGCTGAGACCCGTAGGCTTGAACATTGAAATAGGTATCAAACTAAAATTATTTCGGTAGATGGGTTGGTGTGTAATTAATTTAATTTCACTCTACTTAAATGCATAAGTCTCGGCACCTCTGGTGTACAGTACTACAGTGTAACTATTAACTGCGCAGTTCAACTGAGTATAGTTATATGAACAATTGACGATTGCCATCTTTTCCAGAAACATATTTTTTTCAAACAGGCTCACGGCAACTATTTCCAAAACATATTCTACAAATCATAAATAAATAAGTTTATTTTATTTATAATTAAGTCAATATTATACGTATATCAATTTTTTTACTAATACGAAATTACTTCAGTATATTAGTCCACTACTCTTGGACGGCCGACAACGCACATGTTTCTTTCTACATCCACTCTTATGCTAAAATTTACTTATCAACGTCATTTCAGATATCGAATTATGTATGATCAGCGAGATAGTAATGAATGACTGAATTCATTTAATAATTGTCACTTGACACTTACCTATCCTAATTTCTGGCACAAATATCTCAGACTAAAATATGGATGTCTATGTAGGACATATATGCGTTCTAATAAAAATATTTAAATAAGCTGATACTGCGCTCTCCTTGGTGTTTTCATCAGTGGCAATCTCAACCACACACAGATTTAAATATTTCTTGTAAGATCGGAAGTGATGAAAAATAATGAAATTATTAAAACTTTTCTATGCTGCAAAAATATTTCACATAATTAGAAATTATGTTGTATTTCATGATTTAAAATAAAATTATTACTAATGCAGTTATACCTATATCTATTATCTATTTTCCTTCTTATTTTGCATCATAATTTTCTAAAAGTTCCATCATCAGAACCATTTTTCATATTTCCCCATCTTGAAGTCTTTCACTTCAAACTTTCACGCATTTTATCTATTATACTGTTCTATACAAAACGTATACCTATAACATCATATTATACGATATTCATGCGGAGCTTTCTGAGATCCGTCGCGTCGTTATTATTTTATAAGCGATCCATGTTGCTGCAGAACATCTAAAATCTCAACAGCATTGTATTCGAATAGTTATTTCACATAATATATATAATATAGTATCGACTTTCCATATTATTTTTCCATCATATAATTCAAAGTTGTAGTTTAGTTCAATAGGCATATAGAATAAAAAGTCATGAAACTGAACAGAGGCATGTCGGTGTAGGTGCTCGGTAATACTCTTTTGCGCCATCTATATGAGTCAGCTTTGTGCCGTGCAATAGTTGCCATTTTATAGTAACATATTGTAAAACGTGATAGGAACATAATTTTATATGACACGGTTTGTATTATTTTATGTATAGGAACACGACACGTCATGATCAATAAAATCATAGTCTCATTCACAATAATATTTTACTTACATGATTTTGATGATTTACACGTGTGCAGGTACCATAAAAATCATTCTAGTTACGGTATTAAAATGTATTGTTGCCTTATAAGACACATCCTAACAATTGGAGTATTAGGTTTTTGACCGTTGATTAGACTAATGCTATTGCAGTTGTCAACAATTTTGACTGTTAAGAAGTCACTAGCGGCATGCACACAAGTTGTAAACAAAGTTGTACAAAACAAAAAATGTAATGCTTTTTTCTATTCACCCAATCCATACTACATCTAAAAATAATTAAATTAGTACTTTACCTCGAATGATTTTCAGATTTCCAATTAATAAAAAACAACAAATATTCTAAATAACAGGTTGATGATCCACATCTACACCTTGTCATTAAAAATCCACCAAGATATTAATTAAATTAGGTTTCCACAATTATTATTGATATAATTGTTTGTTATATATTATTATTTATTAAGTAAATATATTTCTGCCACTTCTGAACCGAAAATTTAGTTTTCGACGACGGCTGAATTATTGGAAAGTGACTTTTTTCCGTTCATCAGGTGGTTAAATGGAAATCCCCAAAAGTGCCGGGTGGTAAACTGAAAATCCCCACAAGTACTAAGCGTATCCCCTGCACAACCAGACACTGAAATTTACTGTCCTTACAAAACATACACTTTTAGTTACATCTTATATTCATATATTAATATACTAGAACTTCCTTGCATGACGCTTAAACATTTTGCTTTCATTGAATCGTTTTCGTATAATTGTGTGGTTGTTGCATAAGTAGATCTCTTCATTACCTTTTCCGTGATCGATGAACGCAGAAGGGTGACAAAAATAGTATGTGTGGCTTGTGCGGGAAGGCTGATCTCGCGACTGAAATAGCTCACTTCCCACCAATTGCCACAGAATATACTATTATTTGTCTTATTTTATAACAAATATATATATATTATATATTTTGTAATATTTTCGCTTCAATTTTATTCCATAAATAATTTTTATCTACCAACATACATAACATTATTATAATATATCAATATAACGTAAATACTTTGACATTACTACGATGACAAAATTAAGAACAAAATAGTTAATAACCTCAATCGATTTATTCTCTTGTCTTATAAACACATACAACACAAAATGAGTATAATGCGTATATTACCTATATAATATTTTATACCTTTTATATCTACACAGCGCAAAACAATACGCACGAGCGTCAATAATTCTCGTGAACAATAATAATATTTTTATAGGTATAACATTTCGGGAACATGTCACAAATTGGTTAATAATTATACAGATAAAATAATTGTTATATACAAATGACGGATATTAAGTATTAACAATATAATAATAATAATATTTGCAAACTGCCCAAATACATGACGACATTTATAATTTATAGACGGGTGGTGTAAAACTCCAAGTGTCTAGTATCAATTAAACTATAACCGTACAATTATAATAACTATTCAAATAAAAGCCCTACAATACAATTATCGTATGACGGTGACGGCCGAGATGGAAAGAAAACATAATATTTAAGTCAAAACAACAATTATATCACGTCATATATTATTATTTTTATACAGAAGTCGCCACTTATTGAACTCACTTTTGTACCAGAGCATGTGATGTGATGTGATTAATTAATCAACGGGATTCCATTAATCGAACGACTCGTCAATATGAAATGCCCAAGATTAAAAAGATTTCTATAATGTTGTCATGAATGAAAGAAAATCTTTTTTTTTTCAAAAAGGTTTTTTTTTTTAGGTATTGACTTCAAGAATACTTTTTAGTGTGATGGTTTTAGGAAATAATATTAATCGTCAAAATATATACTTGTACCTACGATAAAACTGAATTGAAACCAGTCTTTTTGAATCCAATAGGCGAATGAGTCAATTAACCATGAATCCAATAAGCGGATACTAGTGACTACTGTATTATAATTCTATATTAAAGTTACGATATAAATAATTACCAGTCGTCAGGAAAAGAACAACAAACTCATGAGAAACATATGACGTAGATATATATAGCGAGTTTGACGATTATGACAATAATATATAAATATATATTATATATACACGATATTATGCAATAATAAATAGTAATAATATTTAAACCTCCAGTAAATCGGTGCAAAAGCGAGATTATAATTATTTGGTTGATCGTGATATTTTAATATTATATTATAATGATATAATAGTAACTGTGAAAGTATTTATTTGCCTGTCGTAATAATATAATAGTAATAGAAACATAAATATTAAGCTACTTAAGTTTTTTTCACTTTGGTTTTTGACGAGGTATTTAGTGTTTAAAATATTATGTCTTCTGCCGTCATGAAAAATAAAAACAAAATATATAATTATTAATTATTAAATCTATATAAAAGCATATAATAATATAGTATAGCTTTTGCAAAAGTTGAGTAGTAGATAATTATTTTATAATAGGTAGAACATGTACAATCAATCGACGTTAGGTTTCGGCTGGAGTCCAGACGAGCAACGTGGCACTATATTGTCTCTAAAATATTTGGTATATAATAATATGTCGAATTCAATCGAATTATTTTTTGTCATTTTATTATCCTACGCGTTTAACATTTGGGCCTATGTATTATACGAAGCGGATACAGATAGATCGTTTTTATTAAAATACGATAATATATTACTATAAGAGGTACGTTCCAGTGGAAAAAAAACAAATAATTATTAATGGTTAAAAAATACGAAACAGATGGAGACTATAACAATATTGTTCTACACTTAATAACGATGACGTAATTATTATCATTTATATACGAACGAACGCGGGAATCGCATCAATAGAATAATGTATTGGAATAAAAACTTAATAATGACGTAAAATAATATTATAATCATAACTACTATAAATTACATTAATATCAGAATAATAATAATAATATTACGCTTATCAATTATGATAATATTATTATAATAGGTGCGGTTGACGACTTGCCTGTCGCGCACGACTCGGACCGAAACCGCGACCGCGGTATTGCATTGGTATCCGCGGTACGTACCGGCCGTTCACCGGCATACCAGGCTTTCGTTGTCGGCCGCGCACTGACCGTCCGGCGGCGACATGAACACCTTGCCGTTACCGCACACGCACAGCTGGTACACGCTGGGCAACTTGTCCTCTGCGCCTCTCCTTTTCGAGCCGCCGATGGAATTCTGCTTGCCACCTCCACCGTCGTCCCCGTCCGCAGACGCCGCAGCCGCTGCCGTGTTGGCCGCAGACGTAGTCTTGACTGTCTTCAGACCCTTGAGGAACACCTTGGCCGCGTCGATTTGTATCTATAACACGACAATAAATAATAATAATAATAATAATAATAAATAATGAAGTAATAAAATTATAATTTAATTATAATTTGTGGCCGACAAATGTGAATTAAACTAGGACACGAAGAATTCTCTAATATAAGCCAAACTTAAAGCGATTTTGAGGTTTGGCATCCCTGAATTCGGAAAAAAATAAACTATACAATATGATAATAATATACCCCGTGTAGGTTTGACACTCCCCGAAACTCTCGGGTAAGGAATATCTCGTTTTAGGAAATTCCCGAAAAGGCATCGAAATCGGGAATGCAAAAAAACTGTCAAAACTGACGATATTCTTCAATAATTAATTTTTGCGACTATAAACAGTCGTCAGCGCATCTTGAGGAGAGTTTATAATTCTACTATAGTACAGGATATTATTATTCATCATTAGGCTCACTGCAGTTAATATTATGTTTAGCAGAAAAAAGAGTAATTTTGTTTCAAGTAAGTACGATGTAGATTGTAGATACATATTATAATGTAGCTTTTTATACTACTCAACTACTGATGACAACTTTTTAATTAGTTATTTAATTCTAAGAAAAATTAGGAAAAAATATATATATATAATTGATAAAAGGGTCACATAAAATAATGTTTGCTTTATTATTTTTCGTTATTGTAACACTGGGAATGCCGAAAAAATATTTATTTGAGAAATACCTAGTAATTAGTAATAACTCCCCTTTCATTTTACTTTTTTCACTAGGTAGTCACAACTATAATATGAACAAGGGTCTGGTGTTTAGTACATTACCTATACCTATGTTCAGTTTAGTCGTCCAGATCATAAACCCGAAAATCGTTATCAATTTTTCCAAAAATATAATTTATATAATTTGTTATTTACGAATAATAATATGTAATTTTGAGTTATCAAAGGCATTTGAAATTTTATTTTTTTTTTAATGATTTTTTGTGATGGTAAAAATGTTCAGGGTTACTCTAATTGGCAATAGCTTAATAATTTGATACGAGGTCTCACATAACATGTGTTCTTTAGACTTTAAAAAAAATTAAACCGATACATTTTAAAGAGCCTATTTGGTTTTTATATACGTTTGTAATTATATTTTTGACAATATTCGTCAGAGTCAACTAAATTTGTAAATTATTTTGAGGTTAATATTTTATAAAATATTAATTTTTAATGGCTAAAACTTGGAAATGTATTAAAAGGTTCCATAAGCAATTTTTACTGAAACCTAAATATACAATGAGCTGCTTGCGATATACGAATATGTGATTATGATTTTAATATTATAGGCAAGTCATTATATTATTTAATAGGAAGTAAGCCACCCTAACTGGTGCAATATATTATATGATGCAAACTTTCCTTGAATCATCAAAATCGGTCTAGAATATTTTGATTCTATGAGCCTCAGCAATGCACTTTGCCATTTATGCATAATTACTGTTTACCCGAGGTTTTTATGCTGATATACTTACAATCCTTTAGGGATCCCAAATAATATGACCACTCACAAGATTTCCCAACTTTCATATGTATGTATATAAATACATAACATAGGTATATACACGATTCCGCATAATTTTTTTTGCAACGTGGTTGTTATGCATCTGTTTGCTCCATTATTATAAATAATAATACCATTACATAACAGTAATTGACATATTTTATCTTATACTTTGTCTATGAAATTAAATTTATGATATTTTTACAATTGATAATGCTGCCGTCATACCACAAAAAAATCAATGTTTTAGTAGGTACTAAAAAAAAAATGAAAACTTAATATGCAAATTTTTTACAAAATCTATTAGATTTTCAAAATGTAGGTGCCTTTAATAATACGGAAATAAACCTGCAGAATAATATCAAATACGATATTTTTAACAATGTGTCAAGTGAAAAATGAAATCATATTTTTCCCAAACACCATCGTCTATTGGACAAAACTATTTGTATGCTATAATAATATATTATTGTGTTTCGGTATGGTTACATTCAAAATCATGTGGAATCGCGTATACAGGAGTTACATTTGTGGAATCGTGTTACGTATACCTACAATGGTTATTAAAACCTTCACAATTCGGTAAAAGTGCTGAATTGGGTTGCAAGCCCTGGAAATTCCCTAGGAATATTCGTCGGTACACTAAACGTATAATATATTAATCCGTCTCAAACAATACACGCTTAAGAGTAGTTCTTGAGTCCCACCTGCTTGTATTGTCTCCGCCTTAGAAACGAGATTATACAAATATAATATAGGTACTATAGTGTTTATAATAAGTGGTATAACATAAGCAAAATTGAGTTCAGCAGAACCAATTTTGTCTTGTTAGGTTTAATAATACATCAGAATGAATTAATCTTTTATCAAACTACTAACGTTAAAAAAAATATCTGTATTTTTACTTCAGGTTTTTTGAGATATTTTAATTTATTGACATTTTTTTGAAATTGTTATGTTTTGTATGTAAATATAATATAATCATATTCATAAGCCACATAAAAGTAAACATATTGTGAAAAAGCCACTTCAAAAAAACAATATATAGTTGATGTGCTTAAATTTAGATTGATAATATGTCGTTATTAAATACTATTTAATATTAAAGTTCATTATACAACATTGGTTCAGCTGAATGCTGTGTATAATGGCGTACAGAATATTATTGATTTCAGGCAGATCTTACATCCAATCTGTGCTTATTTTTTTTTATTTTGGCCATTGGGCAATATCGGGCTGATCCGAGAAAATCACGGAAAAATCACAAGATGAACCCAAGTATTAAAATAATATGTATTATGATATTATGTTTGACTTCACGCCGGTGGTTAATTATTAATATAAAAACATGGGTTTGGAATAAGCCAATGAAATCGATTGGCAGATGAATGCTATTTATTTCATCACAAAACCCTATAAATATTATAGATTGGTTATGCACCTTATCGTTTTTTTAATAAAGTGCATTTAAAAACTACAGTTTTACTAAGACACAAATAGATATTTAAAATAAACTAAGAACAGCCACAACCTCAAAATATTCAAAAATTATTAAAATAAAATTGGATATCTAGATACTTCATAGAATCTCGTTGTATCTTGAAACAGATTTATATTTTTTTTAAATCAACTTACATCAAATATATGAATTATCAAGTCGTTGATATATAACTATGAGGTTACGATGAGCAATAATGTACTTTGTTTTGTAAAATACATTCAAGCACTGAAGTACCTACATCAAGTATTTTCTATAATATGGATGTAGGTGGGAATCTCACATATAGGTAGGTATATATAATGTATTATTATTTTGTAAGATAGATTACAAATTGTTGTATAAGAATTAAAACGACTTAAAAAAAAAAATCTAATAAATAAATACACACCGCTCCTGCTATCGACTGCAGCTTGACGTCCATCAGACACGATACGGTTATGTCACCGGCCCTGGACTCGATAGTCACTCCTTGGGGACCACTCAGCTCTAGTCTACGTGACGCTGACTCCAACCTAAATGTATATAATAATTGTTATTATATTATGTTATACTACAAAATAACATATTATTACTACACCGACACGAGGATTATTAGGTATAATAATTTACTGACAAAACGAATATGGCCGAATTAATGATCACTACCTGCATGATAATAATAATAATAATAATAATAATAATAATGTCGACTTAGATATATTATCGTCCTCCCTACATGGATATTTTTCAAGTACTCTCTAGGTGAGAGTTACATTCCAGATATTTGGATTATCAGCCATATCAGTAATAATTTTAAGTTGCAGCTTAAACGTTAAGAACCAAATTAATATAATATCTATAAAATTAGTTTGAGTCACTTTGGATAGAATTAATTGCAATAAATAGTAAGGTTTTTCTCTTTTCCCATTCACACATGATGCTTTTAAAAATTGATCTCAATTAGAAACATTGACTTTTCGAGAGTTACACGTTGCATTATGTGCCTTGTACATTATGTCCTCGTGTCAGTCTTTTCAGCTTTAGATTTTAGTTTCCTATTGATATCTATTGGTTTAGGCCCTCAAAATAAGCGACTATATAGATCGTCAAACTTTTCAATTCAATATGTCATTATTTACACAAAAACATTTGATGTCTTTCGAATTGGACATATATCTAATATTCTTTTTACACCTTCCACAAACATCGTTTTCAATGTTCTTCTCCACTATAAGTAAATATGCTTTGCTGATGTTACTAATCTATTGTTTTTATTTTTATTGATACTCATGAAGATAACTTGCGTTTGCAGGAAGATATATAGACAAATTAGCCAAGTATATTAGACGATCAATAAAAATTGATAAATTACAATATTGTAAGACAAACATAATTTTATAGTTTTATAAAGAGAGTGGCTATTAAATTTAAACATTTTAGCTCATTAAAAACTAATCTTTACGCTAATTAGACAAGTATGGGTTTTCCAAAGTATATTAAAAATAAAAATCTATATACAACATATCCACATAATAATTTGAATGTAAATTTGTCAGATAATTAAGTGATACACTCTGTATACGCATGTATTTGGTTGATCTCACCTTAAGTCGTGTCGAGAATCAGCTCGAACCATAGGCGTTTGGACACTGCCTTGAAACACGGCGCCACCAGAACCTTCAAGTAAAAGACACAGGGTTATAGAAACATGAAATATATGAAATCACTTTCGATCAGTTGTTCTCTATTTTACGATTTATGTGATTCGGCTGTTTATTATATTTTAATATAGGTTTGTATGTTGCATCTATTTCTAAGTTTATAATTTATTTAGATTGTTAAAATAAGGTTTATGAAAACTATTACAGAATATCTGCGAAGAACAACGTTTGTTTTTGTATTTAGATCATTTTAAGTATTTTTTAATTTTCCACAACTTTCAAAACGTCTATGTAAATTAATAATTTTGTTTTTATATCTGTTAATAATTTTTAATTGCCAATAAGTAGAGGTAAAACACATATTTTGTGTTTTAAATTGTTGATGTGGTCATTAGTTCTTATAGACCATCAATGAATGTGAATACCGATAAAAATGTACCGTTATGATTTTTATTGTTATCTTAAAACAGAACAATAATGGTTTTAATAACACAATAATATTAAAGACGGTTTATAAAAATTAAAAATTGAATTATATATGTTTGTATTTCTTGCAAACTTTTGATGCAAGTCAAACCGTTTTTAAGTAAGTTAAATTCCAATTATTGAATTAGTTACATGATATTAGTATATTATTACTAGTTCCTACTGGTAATGACAATAACTAAATTAATTTCAGACAAAATAACTAACGAAAACTGAAACTAACTATTTGATAAAATTGTTATTGATTTAGGTTTTACCAGTTTTGCAAATTAGGTTTTTGGAGGCCAAGCTCCGAGATATAGCTCACAGAAGCTTCCTACAAAATATGAATAGTTTAAGGTAGCTATTTAAGTCTTACGAATAAAAAAATACTTTGAAAGCTTTATCTTAGTATAAATGTATTATCACGATAATTTACAAATAATTTACACACATCTAATAATAATAATAATATATTCTACGTTACCCGTGACTCGAAGTTCTTGCGCGCCGACTATCACCTTACTCCGGTCAGCAGAGAACAGTGTCTCGCCACGTGTATCGGTCACTCTGAACACACTCGCTTGTGCACACTCCAAACCATCTTTAGCTGTACAGGGGAGCAGAAGAAGTCATTTTTAGTCCAGTAATTATATTAAATTTCAATAAGATAACAATAATAACTTGTACAATTAGTTTTAAGGCAACATTTGAAAAAAAAATTTCCATAAACATAGCTGAATAGTGATACGATACTGTTAGAGAGAGTTTCTAGACGTTTTTTGATTGTTGACTGAATTGATTAGTGGAAGTTTAGCCATCGTGATTCGAACAAAAAGAAATTTAATATTTGAATTGAGTTAATAATATAAATTTATATTATGTTATCGTATTATTACATTAACAATTGTTGTGACGAGATAAATTTAAATGAAAAACACAAAGTCGTCGAGAATTAGACATTATTATTGATACACTTGAACACTTTGTACGTTGGCATCTAGTTTTCCTCTCGTAAACAATTACCTGTTGTTCCATATCGATCGTCTTTAATTGCTCGATTAATTATTATTAGACAACCCGAAGCTACGTTGATTTTTTTTTGTCGTCCAAATTTTAAAAAGATACTAAAGACAATATTTCTTCTGTCAAATATCACTCATCCGTTAAAAATATATAATGTCTTGCACACATTTGATTTTTGAATAATATATAATCAAAACATCACTACGAATAGGTTTGTAAATATGAAATACTCATGATACTATGGAAGTCTTGCTCACAACGCAATTGGAAAAATATAAATGTACCATAAAATCTATTTTTATTTTGCGTTTTTGAATATTCTACCGAAATAATAATAATAATAATAATATATGAACAATATTTTTGGTATTAAAATCTCAGCTATTGGCCGTAAATGTCTCACGCTGCAGAACTAATTATTTGTATACACAGTGCGGTTGTAAGTTATTCAATACGGTGTAGTACTCACTTAATTTGAGACTGTTCACCAGACGTCCTTGTGAATTTCGAGCATTCAGCGTGACGTTAGCAGTGGACTCGATGAGAAGCGGACGTCCGGCCCGAGAGCGTATCGCCGACGCCACCAGCCGGTTGGTGACCAATGTCCGGCCGGATAACCGGAGGCCGCCGTGTGTGATCTTCATAGATCCCATGCCCTCCTGCATCGCAAAATACGTAAAATTATTTTTAATAATATCCAGTTATTTATTTATACGTTGCAGAGTTCAATGGCATATTAAGAAGATCAAGGCGTAGGAGGTGCTGTTCTGGGTGACAAATAAATATTGTTATACCTAGATCCCTAAAATGTTTGAGCTGCAGCCATGGGAAGTTAGTAGGTAATTATTATTTTATAGTATTTATTTATTTTTATTTATTGTAGGACAGAGTGACTAGTTTATTTGAAAAAAAGACGTTGAAGTTCCTTACAAAATATTCATAAAGATTTTACGATGTGTTGTTCGATCATTCGGTGGTCCTAGCTAGGTAGGAATGTACAAGTTAATTTATACACAAAACCACTACAAAATAACTACTTATGCAGGTCATTTATAAATATTTTTTTGTAGATCAGAATATAGTGGAGCACACACTCATATAGTATTAAATGTTTATGGCAATCGGTTAAAGATCGAAAAAAAAAACTGGAAACCCATCGGTATATTACATTATTATTCAATATTTCTACATATTTGATTTTCTTTTACGTAAAAAAAAAAAACAAGAGTACTAAACATGCGATTACTAAAATAATAAATTGGATTGATAAATTCATATCGCCATTATTAATAGATTAATTGTAGCAATAGTTGTTTACAAAATGGATTAGTTTTTCAACGATATGTGTCTATGTGTTTTTTGTGTGTCTGTAGATGCTTTTTCTTGTAGAAACATTTTAAATTATCAACTGCGAGAGGTTTCTGGTAGAAAATGTGATCTATAGATGGTCTCTTGTGGTTTTCAAGTCGAATCATCGGTACTTTTGTAAATTCAATAGTAAAAATCCTCCAAAAAATCCTCCCGAAAAATTGGAGAGTGCCTAAATCGTTCTATAACACTGTGCGGCGGCGGTGCCAACGAGATATTATATTGTATTATTATGTTTATTTATGTGTAGGTACTCATGATTCCAACATTCTCTAAGAACGTGTACAGAACGGTCTTCCGTCTGAGAATTTCCGTTATTTTTCACTCTTCTCAAACACAATAATAATAATAATAATAATAATTTAATGTCGTTTAGCGATATCAAAACACGTATAATATTATAGTAATATTATACACACCCCAACAACAACGACGGCACGGCAGCCGCCATGCCGCGAATCACTGTACCGCGGTTTATCTATAAAATATATTATAATATTATCGTCAACGCAAGTGGGTGGCCATATTATATTATTATAATGGCAATAATAACAACAATGATAATAACGCGATGTCATAAATCACGCGTACACGTTTTTCACGCTCGCTAGCCCCTCCCCCCTCCACCACAATCTATTTCACACGTGCTTATTAAAATATTCGCCAAAGCGAAGCTACGAAATGCGCTTGGTTACACGAATCTCCTCGCTTCCGTTTGCCGACGCTCGTGCCCACTATTTAGTTGTCTGCGGAAAATTCCGTCTCATTGCGTGTTTAACGGGTAAGTTTATATAAAGGCGGGCACGGGAAGGAGAGGGGCGGGTATTGTGGGCCTTAACCCCCTTTGGAAATATTTTATAATATGATGTAATTATATGCGCGCATAGGCAATAACTCATTCGTAAGATCCATACCAATTTGAAATATAAATAAAAATGTTCATACCGTCGTTATCGAGTCTTATCTAATAATATCTATTAGGTACGCCGTAAGTGCTATAAATTATAGTTGTATTTCATCTAAAAAAAATTAAAGCCCACTCGAATAATCTGATTTATAAATCCTCACCTGCAAGTAAGTATACTAGAATATTTTTTATTGCAGACGGACGGTTTAAACGGAATAACAATGACGCGAATTCGCATATTTTTGTTCGATTGATTCAATACTTTTAATTTCACATGGTTTTAAATACGCGGAAATACGCAAAAGAATTTGAGTCTGCGAATTGGGATTTTGGTGAATTATTGGGGCTCGAAGACACGAAATCGTTGGACGACACGAAATGATCACTCGACTAACACGGATGAGAGGACTTGGAGGTGTCACTTAGGACAACAAATACCAATCTATATTCTATTCGTACTGGCGCTTGAATAAAATATAACATTATATTACATATTAATTGATCGTTTTTAATTATAAAACAAAAGCCGCATTAATTCGCTTGGTCTCCATTAAACAGTTGATGTTTTCTTGATTATTATGCATACGAGGCATGATATATAATTCGAAAAAACTCATATGACTATATCGTTGCCGTGGATCGTGTTTTAAAAATATTATAATATATATTATATTCCGTAATTTATTAATATTCACTACGCGGTGATGATTTATCTTATACGAAATTATACGAAGAAAACGTATACTATAATAACACGGTGTTATGCAATATATTATACATATACGCTGCATGTGAAATCGTGAAACATATTATGTAGGGAAATTACTTGTCAAAGTTTAAACTAACTCGAAAAGTTCGGCTCGTAACGGCCGGTCGGCGTGCGTGTTAACTATATAATATATATACATACGGCACGCGGGTCTAAAATTAATTTCAAAAACTGCAGAGCGGCAAAGACAAAATAAAAAATATGTCGGTACCATATATCGCGAATCGCATGGTTATTATGATATTATTACGTCTTATTTAGGTACGACATTTTATACGAATCGCAGTGCTGCTGTCGAGCAGGTGTTAATACGCTTTAGTCTCCGAAATTACTATATTATTTGATTTAATAGCTGCCTGCTATTTTATACTATAATAGGAGCACCGGTGAAATAATCGAAGCTTTTAAAATTGTGTTTTCCGACGTGGGTATGAAACTCTAGCGACAACTCTTTCTCCGTAACACACAATGTATACCCATAATAAACGGGAGGCTGGTAGCAGTGTGCATATAATAATTATGTCGAGTGGGAACCGTTTGCTGGGGGGGGGGGGGATATCCAATCGAGTCGTCGAACGAAAAATATTTTTATATTTTATTTGCGTCGTAACAATATACCATAATATGATATTATTATCGTCGTGTGAAAAATTATAAATTTATGTTTCCACGTCGTGCAATCGACACGCCTCCATGGTACGTGACCTATAACCTAGGAAAAATAAGACGTTCCGCGAGACATAATATTATAATACCCGACGGGTATTTTTTCTTACTCAATTATTTCTGTTTTGAAATCTGATTTTTGCAAATCATTACCATATTGGAAGACAACACTATTATTGAATATATATACATGTACTTTTTATATCATTATTAATGAAGTACGTATATAGGTAAATAATAAAAAAAAATTATTCATCTAGAGTTCGTGTTTATTAAACTTTTGAGATGGTCGTATGACTCCGATTCGGCTTTCGATCAAGATATTATAATTCATGATTTTTTTTGGACAATTTGAAGCTTCATTCTCAGTTTGCATCGAGCATTCATTATACTATTATAATTGCTATACATTTTGATATGTCCAGGAAAGTATTAAATCCCAAAATAAATCAATACCTATAATATGTCACACCACTCGATACAATGGAAGATATTTTTTGCGTCAGTCTAAGATAATATTAGTATATGCATAGGTACAATCTATAAAGTATAAATAGGTATATGTTATATGTAAATTATTTTGAATTTCAACTCACCACACTATTGTTTACAATGTCTTGTAGGTACAACTTATTTAATCGTACGTACATTATTTATTAACCGTTAATAATAATAATATTTTTCAAAATACCTACTTTTTTTTCGAAAAATCAAAGCTGAAAATAGATAAGAAATTATGAAATAGTCATGTACAATTTTTATTTTTTTTTTATTTTGTCACCCGAAAGTAACGAAGTTAATCTTCTTATTTAAAATTAAAATAATTTTATTACAGTTTTATTTGAGTACCTGTGGCAAGACAGTATTAAGTAAGTGCCTATCTAAGTTACTTCATTACTTATCAAAATAAATGTACACAACATATATACGTATAATAGATAATGCTGCCCTATTTTTTTTCGAACCAGTAAACCACAATTGTTATTGGAACGCATTTTAATCTAAAACAGTATTTTAATAATATGGTGTTGCATACCTTGAACATTTGACAACAGTGTTTGAATGCCGAGGACAGCATATTATTATCATGTTGTAGCTGTCGCCAGACGACACCTCTCAGCTGTCTACCGACGACAGTGATTTACACACGACTGCTTCATTATAACACTTTTACGTTTCAATAACGATTGTTCTACAATTGTGTATAAGGACCTCTAACGGGCCCTCTGCTAGTTTAAATCTTGAACACCCGCAATATTAATTATATCGTTTGAGTGTTTAATTGACTATGGCGTACCAAAAATGTGACCATACAGAGTGGTTATATAAAAAGGCATTAATTATTTCAAAAAACTGTTCTTAAAAAAATTATATTTCTTACTATTTTTTAATGCTATACATTTATTTAAAAATGTTCTACTGTTATTTATGACAACATGTGAACACATATTTTTAATTTCATATTCCGAAGCATTATATGGAGTATTTTTATATACTTATAACAATCAAAGTAGTTGGGTTAAGTAGTTATAGAGTACATAATTAGTAATTAATAATTTAAAGCTTAGATAAGCGGAATAGTGGTCCAACATTTTGGGAGACACCTCCCTTCTTTGCAACTTGTATCTGTTTGCCTAAACTTAAAATATTTATAATTCACAAATTCCTAGTCTAAAATTATTTTATCATGCTTCGAAGTAGGTACTCCAAAACACATTCTGATTTTAAATAATAAATTAAAATTGTATATTGTCATTGAACAAGTTTAACTTGAAAAATAATATGTTAAAAATAAAATCATTTTTAAAAATTTAGTTTTGTAACTAAACTTAATATTAATATAATATAAATATGTTTCCATACAATAATCACCAAGTGTTCAAGTATATGTAGGAATCTATATTATGTATTTATGTTTCAAATGTTTCAATTACTAACTTAGCAAAGTGTCTCCAACCGGAATCAGCCGAATAATGGAAGGATTCCAATCGCTATTAAAAAAAAAATCATAAATCTAATAAAATCAATGTCTATGGCTGATCGTTACAAAAAAGTGTCGAGAAAAACTGTAAGCAATTATGTAATTTTTTAGAAGTTAGGTTTTTTTATTTTTATCTCACAAGTACTACTTAAAGTACCAGTTTTTAAATAAACGTTAATTCCAATAGCGAAATGACATTTATTCCTAACGAGAAATTATTTTCAAGTTGTTGTTGACGTCAATAGCGCATTCCAATAAATATACAAGTACAAGAAAACAATATTACGTAACGCTTTTGATTGCCATTTCAAACACAGTTTAATACTTACAACAAGACTCGACAAAGGTTTATTTGTAATTCTTTATGAAAGTTTTATAATTTTATATTAAAAGTTGATTTTGTTATGTTATGCATTTTTAAAACTTTGAAATACGCAGTTTCGCATATTTGGTGCCTTAGTGGTATTTTAGAGAATATAGCTTAATATATAGATACCTATTTTGTCATGGTTAAATCGTAAACACACGTCTAGTTACAAGAAACGCAACTCATAAAACGTTTCTGTAATATCTTTGAACTGCTAGGTAAGTTCCACAGGAACGTTAAACTGCTCTTCGGGAATGTGTTTTTTTTTTATAACTGAAATGATATTTTGCACAGTTGTGACTCGTGGCAGCTTACAATGCATCTCGTCCTAATAGTCCTAGACTCAAACGAGGTTGTTCCCACAATGCTTTAAATTAATCATTCAATTTAAATTGTATATTGGAAAATAACTAAATATTGTTAAAATAATGTGAAAATTATTGTTGCACTATGTATTAGTCAAACTATTAATCTTGTATAGCCAATATTATCTGATAGACAAATGTCAAACATTTAAAATCTATATTAAACCTAAGTTTAGATGATTAAGTAATGTCTGGAAATCTTTAACGATAATAATAAAAAAGAACAACTCATTTACGTAAGTGTAGAACAAGTAACTTTATAGAATCGAAGAGCTTTAAAATTCCACGACACTTATTTTCTGGAAATGTTTCATTTTAGTAAAAAAAAAAACAATCAAAAATCTTTATTAAATCTAAAATTTAAAAGTCATATACTTGAAGCAAGGGAACATTTTTAAAAGTGAATATTTTGTATCGAATTCTAATAATCGATAAATAATATCCAATAGATAGGAGTCCAATACTAATAAGTGATAAATTAACCAATAATTTAATACAATTTATACTTAATTTATAATCATTAGCATAGTACCTAATTCGTTAACCTTGGTCAGTCATTCGTTATCGATATATTGTCTGTGTGTAATCTTTTCTAATCATCAATAACCATATGCGTTTCAAAGAAAAAATTTTTCATTACCTACTTCAAGTAAAATATTTCAAATATTCAGAACATCAATACGTAATATGACAGTGCAATACAATGTTCTAAGTGCATTTAATTCACTGCCACCCGGTCACGTGATAGCAACTAGTTATACTGTCTGAATATACGAGTAGTCACCTGTGTCGGCCATTGTTATTTGTTACATGTAAGTGTAGACAACCGTAATAATTTCGAATCAAAGTAGCGCGTTTTTACTGTCAACAAATTAAAATATTAAACGATTTCAGCGGACCTGTAGGTAATATTATAGAACAGGTGTAATGTAGGCAATCAAAAAACTTTAAGACACAGCTTCGACCAACGATTACACCAACGTTATCCGCAATTTATTTTACGGCAACGCCTCGAGCGTTTATTTTCTAATTTAAAAGACAATTTATAAACGAGCAAATCCAAAATAATTATATCGCTTAGACGATTTCGGCAAATGTGGTCGATCGCGGTAACGGTTGTACGGTCGTCACTATCGTCAACTCTGTCAAAACGAAACGGACAAAATATTACCTTTTTTGCGAGAAATCGTTTTAATCGTTTAAAGACGAAACTGGAGTCTGGAGAGTGTGCATCACAAATCTCAGGGATCACAATATACACACTACCACACGCCTCTTTACTAATGTACCTATTGTGTGTGATACAATATTGAAAATGTAGTACTTATCAATTTATTTTAAAGTATTGTCTAAACGAAGAAAAAATTCAGTATTCTAAATATCCTGGGTAATAAAACATTAGGTATATCATGCGAATATGCCATAGATATTGGATACACTGCGTATTTTATGAGGTATTTGATTTCCTTTCTCAAATACTAACTTAGTATCAAGAATAAATAATTTGCAGTACACACATGAAAATGTTTTTAACACCTTTGTGTCTATTGAAATTAACTTTAAGCTATAATCATTTTAAGCAAATTAATTATGTGTTTTTTGTTGTCATCTTTGTCGACATTTAAACAAAAAACATCAAAATCAAATAAAATTGAGATGATTGCATTACATTTTGTAAAATTAATTATTATGATAACCCTCCACTCTCCCATATTAAATTCCGGTCTACGGCATTGAAAGGCGAGAAACTGAGAAAGTTAACGAAAAGAAAACGTAATTTAAGTTAAGTCAACGTTATGAACGTCAAGGCTTAAACTTTAGTTTAAATTGATATGGTAAATAAATATTTTATTTTTTTAATAACTAACTCTAAAAGCTTAAAGTTAATATGGAAAAAAATGTTAACTTAACTCGGTTCAAAATAAGTTACTTAATTTTGTATGAAATCAACACATTTGTCGCACACACATTGACTGTGCAGCTTTCAGAAAATATAAAATACATTTCGTTTAAAAGCATCCTATACCTACTACTTCTTAGGCATTGTTGCACACCGATTGCAGGTATTTAGACGGTTGTGCCAACTGCATTATTAAATATTTCAATATCCATTCAAACGTTTCACATTTGTTTTTACATACAACTATACAAGAAACATCTAATCGAGTATACCTATTGTGATTTAAACTTTATTTTTTTGTCTCAAATTTACAGGGAAAAAATTGTACAACGGTTTCGTTGCAAGTATTTCGACCGCAGTCAAGTTATTAAAACGATCGGAAAATCAACGAACTGGTTCGATTAAAAGGTCTTGGCACTATAACGTTTCGGCCGTCGTAATTGACGTTCACTTTACACGTACTCCCGACGAACACGGTTGTAGAACACATTTGTATATTATAATTATTACCGACGTGAACTGAGTGACCCGGATGAACCAGAGAGTGAGCGTCAGGTTGACGACGACGACGGCCAGCAGACAAGCGAGAAACACGTACAGGGCGCGTGTCTTCCACTTGGCCGTGGACTTGGGCCCGCCGGCCGATAAGTTGTGGTCGACGTGGGCGGTACGATGGCCGGCCGCGGAGTTCGGGTCGTACGCAGACACCGCGGCGCCGGGCTTGTGCTGCTGCTGCTGCTGCAGGTGGTGGTGGTGTTGCTGTGGCTGGTTATGAGGTAGTAGAAATTGTTGCTGTTGCTGCGGCGTCGGCGTGTCTGCGACCGCCGACGAATCGTACTCGACGATGTCCGCCGACGACGCTGGCCACTGTCGGTGGCCACCACCGACCGCCGTGCCATTCCCTTCGCCGTCGTTACCGTAATCGTAGTCGTCCATCACGGTTGCCGTTCCGGTTCTTCTGCGTCCCAAAGACCATTAAATAATATGAAACATATAAAAAATGAGTGTTATGACGTTAAAAAATAATATCGGGAATAATTATTGAACAGTGAGAGACATTGCCGATTGGGCTAGTTTATGATGTATTCATGACATATGCAATATTGTACTGTTATTATACACTATATTCGTGCGAGGTATCAGTATATTTATCAAAATGCATACAAATATAAGTTTATATTATTATTATTATAAAAATGTCCTTGGAAAATTAGTCTCTCCTACATATCGCCAATTTATATATTCATTTTACACTAATGTCGAGTTATATAACATTCATTTTTGCAATATCCTTCCAATAATCTCACTCCAAGTGTTTATACACGTCGTCCACTTATTCAAATAATTTCACTATTTTTCTCTAGTTTCATACAACTCCTCCCCTCCAAATGATATATCGTTGCTCCATTTCCCATTTTGTGCCCGGGCAGGGAGGGCACACGACGTGTTTCATTGCTTCTTTTTTTCTTCTATGCTTTTAAATGATAATAATTACATATTTTATTTTATATTTCCATGAGCAAAGCTGTTTTAGTTGTATTTTATATTAAGTGTAACCTGGTTTTGTATTCTATTATAATATACACTATCGTTTGTAGTAGAATACAAATTGGACAATAGGAATAATACTTCAGCACTTGTGGATGGACTAGCTAGCCCGACATTACGAAAATTTAAATTGAATAATCGTAAATATTATAATACATTTTTTCAATTGATATCATCACTTCGAAATCGCAAATTAAAAAAAAAAAATGTTGGATATTACGTATAGGTACAAATACATAATATATATAGTTTTGAGGGTGAAGCTTTTCAATTCTGTATCATTCTCATGGCGACATAATCCCATCATTCAGTACCGCATAGTAACCGCCTGCTGCAGTGTACATATGCTATTATAGAGGTATCAGACGCATCGACGTTGAGGGAAATCCTTAGAATATCAGTCCTGGCATACGAACAATGTATATTATGTACGAGTGCGATAGGTATACATAATAATAATAATATGACGACGTCTAACCACGGACGATCGACTAACAGATAAAAAAAAAAAAAAAAAATGCAATAATAATACACGTACATTGCGATAGATACCTACACTTGCGGGCGAGTTATAGGCACTCGATATATATATATATATATATACATAGATATAATGTGCATTCAATCATCGTCGTGCCGTGGTCGTGGACAAGTGTAAGTCTCTGGCGGACGACGACGACTACGACGATCAATCATCATCGGCCCGGGTCGTTTACGACCGCCGTGTATATAATAATGTATATACGAGCCCTTGGATGGGATATTATCATAGAACGTCATATACACAATGTAAGTACGTAAGTATAAATAGTATACATACGGATGCAGCACTAAGTGCATAGCATATTATACGCGCATACGCGGTGCAGTCGGACTCTGCAGGACTCGAAAAGAAAATCGCCTCCTGCGGGGCCCTCGATTATATTGAACTGCAGCAGCTCACGTGCGCGATACGCGCGTCATATTATTATTTATTACAATATAATATAATGTGTGTATGGGTACAATGGGTATACGAGGGGCTATGTACGTCGTCGACGGTGGGTCGGTGGGTCGCGGAGTGCGGTGGGCGCTGTGGGCCGTATTGTGCCGGTTCGCATGCGTTTTCTCTCTTTGACGTGACGTTTTGCGGTGTAGAAAAATAAAAGTCACCGGAAAGTGGAGGGATTTTCTTTTTAATAGCGCGGATACAATACAATGTTATTGTATACCTATACATTATTATTATTACGCTTACGGGTGCTCGTGTTTAGTGGAAAAGGTTGTTTATTAGACCCAACACGAATACGCACGTGTGAGAGTTGGCGCGTATATAATACATGTATATATAAAGGTGTTATTGTCGGTGAGGTCAACTGACGATATATATATATTATTATAAATATGTCGATACGGCGGTCGATGAAGACGGATGGACCGCTCGTGCACAGAGGCAGCGGCGACGGCGGCGGTCGAATAGCTCGCGATGTATATTGTATAAAGCCGCCATATCCGCGAGTACCGCGGTCCCCGCTCGTACCTGTTAAGCATTACTATACATCCCTTATATTGTAATAAGCAGCGGGAAAGTGAGTTTTTAAAAGCCTTTCCATAATACTCGTTGTTGCCCTTTTACCGTTACGATAATGCGCATACATATAAGACACGTGGTGGCGATGAATGGAAATCGGAAAGTCACAAAAGTTGTCCTCACACACACACACACACACACACACTCGTCACTCACTATAAACGCACAATACGCACTGCACAGAACCGATATTTTGCTATACGTTTATTGAGTATTTTATTAAAAAATAGCGACGCGATGAATATTATAATATTATGATACACTCCCTTAATATGATATAATATTGTTATAGACGTACCAGTTTACTAGACGTAAATGCTTTCGTAAACGCGCGCGTTCATCACTACCGCTTTTCAATTATTAAAAATAATATAATGTAATTTCGGATACCTGCTATATCATAATAATTTATAAGTAATTGTATTTTATTTTATGGTTAATTGTATTTTAATAAGTCTAATACTTTAATTGTATATGTCAATAATATGTTATTAAAAAATATAAGATGAGATTATCGTGTATATGTATTAGAACATTTTTTTCGAGAGAAACTTCTTTATGGAGGGTAAAACGCTGAAAAATGTGTACCGAAATTATGCTTATGACACTAATTTCCAAATAAAAGAAATAAAATATAAATCCGATAACCTATTATTATTATTTTTATCTATTTAGATATTTAGTCATTGGTATGGAATAGTGAGGAGGAGCGTAATTTTAATAAATTCTTTAAGTTAAATCAATTGATAATAATTATAAAATACCTAATCATGTATATAATAAAAATTATAAATATCGAATATCGTTTCGATTGCAGGTCATAATAATGTATTTTATATTAAATGCCTATTATATAATTATGTTAATACATTTATTGGTATAACATCAAATACTTCCAATGGTAATTTGATTTGAATTTGAAACTTTAAAATAAATATGTCTATAATATTAATCTATTACTGAAATGAGAGTAAACAAAATAAATAGAATAAATAAAAAGAATCGAACAAATAAATTATTTTTTGTACCACAATCTTGAACCTAAAATCCCATCAGTTCTTGCTGTTCATTTTTAGAAAAGCTAGATATAACTAAAAACTACAAAAGAAGTTTCACTTCATACACACATGCTACATACATACGCACACACACATGGTTTTTCTTTTAAATTGTTTAAGGTACCTTGGTACATACTTTTATTTGAAGAATTATAAAATAATAATTATTATCACTAAAATTAACTACCAGATGTGTTTTATTTTTTTTTCTTGAGAAGGTAAACATGACCTTGTTTCTTCGAAGTAAACATGTACTTGAATAAATTCTCTCTTTTCTCTTTACAATTGGAAGCGAACGAATTCAACTCAATTTCAAATTTCAAAGTGAACTTTCCGAACACTGAGGCACTAATATTATATTATTAACGATAACTACTGAGAAAATAATGTTATCATTAGAGATATATTTTGAGAAGAATGAGTATTTAAAAAATATTTTGATCTCTTGTCTCTAAAAATATAGCGAGGGTGGAACTCTTCCTCCCCTCTCAAACATTTTACTAATAACTTGAGCTAGGGACTTCATGCCTTTAAAAACCTTAAAATATGGGTGCATTTATGCCCTAAAGAATCAATAAATATGCATTAAAAAAAAATTAAATTATTAATATATTATTATTAATATAATTAAACTAAATAGTTAAGCCGATCATAAGGTTTTTTTTAGGTCTAGGCATTTTTAAATTATTTTATTATTTATTCACTCGAACGAAAAAACAACGAAAACTAACGAAAACAAAATACGAAGGACTCACAACACCAACTATCAACTTTTACTATTCACGGGACCGTCTGGCCTCTATCTACAACTAGTAGCATGTTTTCTTGGTATCATTTCGGCCTATCGCCTATCGGGAATCACGAGTGTAGAGTACCGATAAGTAACAATACAATTATAGTGATAGACAAGAAAAACGCAAAACATTAATTTTTAAATATTTATATCTGGTCCAGGAAATCTATTTTAAAATTAACTTTTTTTATAAAATTAAAAAACTTACTCCTTACATAAATAATTGTCAAATATGCACTAATAAAATGAAAAATGGTCAAATATGCAAAATATGCAGCTATACATTTTAAATATAAACTCGTATTGCTATGAAACAAATTTAATGATTATTTAAAAACATGTAAACTCCTAGAAGTCCCGAGCCCTGCTAATAATAAATCGATGTATATGTAAACATTATAATAAAACAACTCTAGAAGTTTTGTAGAATTGTGAAACTAGTGGAAATATATACGCGTGACAAAACTTTAAATATACATATTGCCATATAGATATTTTATTTTATATTAATTATTATAACGCTACATAAAAATTATATCGAAGTATAATATGCTTTTTTTAAAAAGTGATCCATTTACCACCTGGCCACATTAATTTTCTGTGTCGGTGTTTATACTTTTCAAGTGTTTGAAGTATTTACAACATTGCAATATTACAAAGCACTTTATTAAATTGATTTTTTAATCAGCATAGATAAATTGGTTAATGTATAAATAGTTTTTTTTATTAAAAAGCGGTTAAAGTTCATATGGTAGGGGATAACCCTCGAAAGTTATGGTGCATTACTCTAACACTCTTCAGAGTTATTTAAATGTTCTTTAATAAATATGTACATATTTAAAACCATTTATTCATATTGAATCTATCTATTAGACTGATGAAAATATTTATACTGCACAAAAATTAGAGGTTAAATACACCCATACCTACAATATATATCAATACTACATCAATACCTAGTTATGCATTTACACCAAACATTATTGACATTAATATTTTTTTAATTTTGTTTCGTTTAATAATGAAACTATTTGAATTCACATTCGAGTACATAGTTTGTACCTATGACGCACTTAACTACACTTATTTTTTAGATGAATTTTTTTTGTTATTTTAATTGAATTATCGAGAAAATTACACTTTTGTAATAAAAAAATTAATTTCTTCTCATTTTTTCGTGATGTGGTTTTTTCCTATAATAATACATTACAAGCTATATATTTTTTTAATATTCGATAGTTGGATGCAGAATGTTTTTTTTAAAAAGATGTATGTGTTAGTGTACGAATTAAAAATAAACAGGTATTATAGATTGTTATTATTGTCAAAGAAAATGTATCTATACCTAGTATATTGATAATATTTAGTTCTGTATATGTATATATATATACGATACAGCATTCAATTTGTTTTAAGTAATTTGTTTTAAATATAAATATGTAGTTACTTTAAGTCGTTCAATACTACAAACCCGCCGTCGCATTGATGGCGGCATTGTATTCGTACATAATCGATGCTGAATGGGGTACAAATGTTTCGGTGACGGAGATTGAGGTAAACGTCATTTTAATATCCCTTTGGCCATAACTTTTTTCCAACATAATATTAATAATGATTTCAGTGTGGCGTAGATAGAGCCGGTAAGCCGCACTATCGTGACAGATATAAAAAAAAGCAAAACCACACAAGTGCAGTGTTTACATTTTATCTCGAACTTTTACCGAATACCACAAAATAGTTTTCCTCTTCACTGTATTCATATAGCAGTATATAGTTTGTACGCTATGGCTGCGGCTTTTATTATATTATTATGCGGTCATCAGTTTGTTTCGGTATCTACCTACTTAGATAGGTACCATACCGCGGTAGGCGGTGCATATTGACATTTGACGAGATATTATACATTATTAAATATATATATATATATATAATAAGGAGGTCTTGATAGTTCAGAGCAGGGAGAGAGAGGGCGAAAATTCTTCTGTTATTAATATTTTCGAGATGCAAATACAGGGGGTAGCGGAAAAAACTGATAAATATAATTAACTAACTATGTCAAACTTTTATCAAATTTGAAAAGAAGGACTTATAATTCCCTACTATTTCATAAATGCTTTGCCTTATATTACAAAGATAATGCTCATGAAACAGATGTGATGAATTATACAGATTACATATTGTATTAACAGAGATATTTGCAAAAATCAAAATTACTATAGACATTTGTAAATTATTTAGTATAGAGTAATTTATTAGTGGTTACTTGTTAGAGTAGGAAATTATTTGGTGACATTGATTGAATACTGCAGACAAGAGTCCTCTAGGGTATAATTCTTCATAATATATTTCTTATAATTCTTTATATTATGTGCCTACCGAGTACTTATACTTATATGTTTTGGATTATCTTCAAAAAAATGTTTTTGAATGAGCATAATCTTTACAATTTCAACTTTTTAACCATACCTGACATTTGACAATAAATTCGGCACAGTGCAGAATAAAATATGGTACTAAGAGATGACTTCAGCCTTCTTATTTTAAGAATGTATTATAAAAAAATCAAAATGTATTAAGTTTTCTTATGACTTATGATAATTTGACCATATAAAAAAAAATGAAATTACTATACATTACACAAATACCACTGGTCCAAAATTATTGAAATATTCAAGCGTTAAAATCCTCAGTATATTAATTGATGAACATCTTAAATGGAACAGTCATATTCAATCTAAAACAACGAAGTACTACCAACACACTTTTATTTGTAAAATAAATTGGTGTCTAAATGTTTATTCATGTTATGTATAAATTTGATTATCTTAACCCCGCCGCTTTTAAAAATGTTTCTTTTTTTCTAATTTCTGTTTTTATCAGAAGTGCATATAAGTACATATTGGCTACGATTGCTCTATAAGAAGAGGTGCCACCTCAGTTGAGAACAATACTATATTTTTTTTCGAATTTTTATCAACATTTATTTGTAAACAGCATTATTAATTCCAGCAATAATTAATATGGTTATTACGTAATTACTTTGGTTTTATTCAATAAAAATGTTTAAAAAAATATATATGTGAAGTTTTACGATTATTATAGTGGTGTGATAAAAAAATATTATATAAAACAAGGGAGATAATAATGTTGTTCACTTATGTGATGCCCCCATGCCCCCAAAAAAGGGCTTAATATTTAAACCTATTATATATGTAAGTTATATTTGTAGATCCAGTGATTAGGTAATTAAAAGGTTTATTTTAGTCTAACATTCTATCAAGTCCATTTTTGTTTATCTAATTTGTGTTCATACAGCCCTATATTATAAATGTTGAGTATATAATAGTATGTATCATAGCCTCACAGAATATCTGAAATTCTAAACAACTTTTTGCACCATTATGCATTTTAGTTTTTATGAATACACCACAATAAATGAACCATATTATAAATTTTTTTTATTTAATTAGCACTTTTAATAGGTAACAGACATTGAATATAGGTATAATGTCTTGTCTATGATGTATGTAATTATTCACATGTCTTAAAAAAATTCGGGAATATTGTACACTTAGCCCGGTCTAGATCTAATATTCATATCGAATAATTGAAATAAATTTCTAAAAAATTATTGATTTATTAGTCTCTCAAAAATAAAGGCATTTAGATTTTAGAATTCAAATTGTTTATTAATCATCAACTTAATCAATTTTGTTTTTATTTTCTAATTCTAAGCCATTTATTTAATTTTCACTAATGAAATAATTTGATTATTGTTGTATTATTTCGTATTATTTACTCAAACGTGCAGTGTTTTATTGTTCTAAACATTTGTAATAGTTAAAATGATAAAATTAGGTCCCCCGAAAAAACAAATTTCTGGTTAGAGTACAGGTTACAGTATCACACCCATATAGATAAGTATTCCATTTACATTATAAATTTATAAATTTTGTGTTTAAGACAGTTGGTAAAAAATATTTCGTTAAACAATGATTCATCAAAAACTGTTTTTCAATAACATTTTTTGTGAAAGTGCTTTTTAATTTTGATAAATAATCGTCCAGATACCATTAACTGTATTACCTGGGCATTGTTTTTGAACGGAAGTAATCGGCTGTTGATCTGCCACCGTATACATCGTTCTCTAGTCCAATTCCACCGTTGTGGTTTACCGCCGACTCTGCAGTAGAATGTATCTGCAACAGGTAAAAATATTAGACAAATAAAGTAAGCACAATTTGCTTCAATATAATAAAAAAAAAAAACACTTATGTTGGACGGTGGAGCAATAATTTAGTCGGATATATTTTGTCTTAAAATTTAAATGTAAAAATACAAGATGATAATATGTACTATGCATAATCAATATTAATAATAACTAATAAGTATAGTGTATACGTATAATAATAAGTAAAAAAATATAATATATAATAAGTATACACGCCTATTAATATTTCTTTACTTATTCACAAAAATGTTTATTAATTTAATATTTTTCATTACTATTTGGTTGATGATAACATATTTTACCTATCGGGGTAGTGTAATTAGATTAATTAACGTAAAATAAACATTGTTAATTTTTGCCTTAAAACATTAATTGTTTTTTTTTTCAGCGGACAACAAACTTGAGGTGTTGTTTGGAAAATTGTACCTATATTTAGCACTTACACAATCGTATTATATGTAAACGACGTCTTTGTTATTCGTCAAATATAGGTACTCAAATACATAATCATGTTACTAAAAAGGTGAATCGTATACATATTAGTTTATTAAGTAGGCAGGTTTTTTTTATGGGGTTAGGCTGGGGAAGGCTAAGTATATTAAAGGAAATTATATAATAATTGATTATTTAAAATAATTTTTGGGCTATAAAATATTAAAAATAGATGCGGATATGTTTTTTCGGAGTATGTTGAAACAGATATTATAGCCACCAAGGACCTAGAACAATTGAGTTACGCGTGGAGGAGTAGATGAACTATATCATAGCGTGGTATATTATTATCTCTTGGCACACGACGGTACTTGCAAATTATCAGACTGTGTATTTGTTATATTATTTTTAATAAAATCAAAATTATTCTGTTCTACGATTAAGTTTTGTTCATAGTAAGTTCACTTTAGTAAGACACTGGTATGAAGGGTCTGTTCTCACACATTTATCGGGGCAGTTGTGACCCACCCTCCACCCAGCTTCCCAATAAAATAATGTCTTTATAACTAAACAATCGTGTTCCCAAAAATGTAGGTCGTACTCGAAAAATTTCTACTCAAAAATACATATTAATATACAATACCTATATTTTAGATATAAAATATTATGTAGGGATGAGGAGTGATTTTTGTAATATCCTCAAGCCTATAAACATCTGTTTTTAAAAAACCCGTAATTTTACAACTTACAAGATCTGAGCATTATAACTGTGTGTTTAGACTTAGTATCCGGTAATAACGGTTTATCTACATGAATTTCGACGCGTGGGACCTCTTAAACGTAAATTCTGTATAGGTGATATAAACCAGTGCCACGTGTTCTTCCATCCCGGATCATGTGCGTACTATCAACTTAAACTTTTTACGCTTTCATCAGTAATTTAGCAGTAACTACAATTATCCCGAGTACCTATCGGCTGTCGTGATATTTTTTTATTTGTTATAACTTATAACATTTTTTATGATGCACAATATCAATAATGCATTGCTATAAAATTTATAATGCAATGGATGGAATTCATAATAATGTCTATATAGCTACGTCGGGAGTGATGATTCGTGTCACAGTCAAATGATACAAACTTAGTATAGCTGAATGATAATTTAAATTGTCTACACAACGGTGACAAAAATATGATATAAAAATACATGAACTGAAGTTTCATTACATAATAATTATACACTAGGTAATATGAACTAATATACATTAATTTATTTGTATTCACCCACCCTTGCAGTGGCAGATTCAAGATTTTATTTATTTTTATTTATTTTTTTTTTTTAGAATATAGTAGTATAATAATTATTTGTTATAATATAAGAGAGGACTGACTAGGGAACCTCATAAGTTTGGTATGATGATGCCGAGTGGGTAGATTTTAGAAACTTAATACGTTCACAGAATACACTGAAATGATATAGTTTTTAAATTTTCCAGAGATTTTAGAGAGGTCTGCAATAATCTCAGCCTTGTGGCTATTCTACTGACTATTCCACATGATTATTGAAATGTTAAATATTATTTTTTTCCCTTACTTTTAAAATGCGTTCTAATTATTTTTCAAATGACCTATTTATAACAACACTATAATGATTATTATATCGTTTAGTCAATAATTTTTTTTTGTAAATTATTGATAATGCCTTTTACACTATTATATCGTCAATCATAATATTATGTACCTATGTGGCTACATAGTATAAAATAATTTTTTTTAACATAATAAATACCTATGTTTTTGGGCTGGGTACAAATTGTTTGTAACCGATTTTTGCGAAGTCAATTTTCATAACGTTATTGTTTTATTGCCATAGAAATGCAGATTAACGCAATAATGGAAAAAAAAATTCGGTGAACTAAATTTCTAACAAAATGTAGTATGCTACTATTACTCTACTAAATATTTTTCCACCACACTAAATCCAAAAATATATCTATGATTTCTTAATTTTCCTTGGAGAGGAAAGATATCTAATATCATCATATGTTACTTTCTTCGTGCTCCTTCCCTGCACTATTGTAGTTACATAAATATAATGCACTTGAACTCGAATTCCTTTTAACAATAACAACATTATTATTATGTGATTCACCTTTCGAGATCGGCCAGACGAGACTATTGAAAAGACGACGGCGACGTGTCAAGTGACGTTTATAATGGCAAGTTTATACCGATTGCGGCCAGGCTGTACCATATTATTATATTATTACAACCACGGTCATCGATGAGGGTTACGCTCGCGAGTGTAACGGACGATATTGGCACAATAACTGTGAAATAATAATGTTTACATGTCATTATTATAGCATAGAACAGCTGCTCGATGATGATATTATTATTATCGCGGATCGAAGAGAGCGTTGTCGGAGCGCCGCCGAAGCGTTGATTTTAACGCATTTATTATTTATTTTCTCTCGCGGTTTGTTTATTTGCGCGAATAGACTACCGATGATGACGACGTGTTGTTACGATATCGCCGTGTCGTTTATTCCTTTATCCGCAGCAAATATTATTATTATTATTTACGGCGTATTTCGAAGATATCTACTATTTTGGCATGCGTCCGAAACTTTATTTAGTAAAAAAACACAACCACGTGAGGGGGCGACAGCAAAACTGTATTATTATATCCCATATAGCGACACCGACCTCCTGCAACCGAATGAAACAAAATATTAAATACCAGAACATAATATTATAATATTAATATAATCAGGGCACGAGCATATGCGTTTCGCTAAATAGATGTGAATGTATAATTATAGTTACACGACTATCTTATGCTCATGAGAATGTTCATATATGCAGTCAAAACTTTTAAGTATTCGATGAAATCTGATTAATTTATCCATAATACTTAATCACATCTTGATATTTTATATTTCGCAAACTTGTATCGATAAACACACTTTTTGTAATTTTTAATAGTTTTTATTTGACTAGCGAGTCGTCCGTTATTTTTAACGTCTTATTTTTTTATAATTTTACCGTCTACGGTATATTATTCTAAATTTATAGATAGTATTTTTATTGTTTCCAACAAATATCAAAACCATTTACAACGTGTTTTCAATAACTTTAACAATTTCAAATGCTTTTTAAATTTAAAAATATATATCATGATTTTTCCAAAATATGCCCATAATATTGGCATGCAAAATAAACTTAGAATTATTATTATGCAATTATTATATATCGCCAAAAACAAAATTGCGTCGAAGCGAATTTTAGCATTTAACACGATTTGGCTGCAAGATTGATATTCAAATTTCCCTAACTTACGAGCAACGTTACTAATAATATTGATATAGTTATATGTATAATATTTGTACTCGCAAATGACCGGAAAAATCTAAACGTTATACTATTTAGCTATCGATTCGTTTCGTTCTTCACCGCTGCGGTGTACCGTTTTATTTCTGAAAGAGTGAAACACTTAAATTTTTTTTTCGATCTGCAACGGTCGATCGTGGAGGGACGAAATCGGCCGATGTTGAGCCGCGTGGGTAAAAAATACGAAATTGAAAATTCTCCGAGTTTCCGCACTGTACGACGACATTATCGCTGGGCGGCGATTATTGCCAGTGAATTAAATAATATATTATAATAATAAACGCCGCAGAACATTATTGTGCGACGCGATATATATACATATATGACATTATATCATACATTATCTACTCGGCGGTGGTGGTATATATATATATATATATAATATTATATATATATATACGGTATACAATTACTACTATTATTCGTTACACGGGCACAGCCGCCGGCGGACGCGGTGAATTATGATCGTAATAATAATAACAATAATAATAATAATAATAATCGTCGGATATTTTGCATATAAATTGGTACTAGTCTTGTGGTGGTATATATATATATATTTACACTGGTCGTGACGGGTATATATTTATATATATATATACAGTGTGTAATAATCGTCGTCGTCGTTGTCGTTGTCGTTCTTATATACTGGCGAGCGAGCGGGCGGGCGGGCTGAAAGAAATTATTACGAGCGAGCAGAGCACGCCGCCGCCGCCGCCGCCGCCGCCGCTGTCGTATAAAAAAATCGAGTCTCGTATATAGATTTCGCGCTGTATATATAACAAAATATTATAATATAACCGAGACGGAGGGACGTGGTTTAACCGCACGCACACGCACGTATAGTCGCCGTCGTTATAATAATAATAATAATAATAATAATAATAATAATAATAATACGCGATATAATAATATTATATTTATGGCATCGCCGCCGACGCCGCCCCCGCGATTCGCTTATAGACGAAAAAAATAATATATATGTGCTCACCGAAGAGCGGGTGAGAAACCCGAAGAGAGTTGGACGCCGTCGCCGAACATAATATGTGAGCATATTAGTTTGAGTATTGTACATTGTAACGGCTGTGTTACCTATGCATCACACCAGTTGTAACCAGATACCAATAATAAGTGTATTTTAA